AGCGTCTTGCATGGTTTACCTACAAAGCAATTAAATAAGTTGCAGCGCTTGCAAAATTCAGCTGCCAGACTAATAACTAAAACTAAGCGCAGAGAACATATAACTCCTGTTTTACGCCAATTGCATTGGCTGCCTATTAAGCAAAGAATAACTTTTAAGGTCTTACTAATTACTTTTAATATTATCAACGGTTATGCACCAACATATTTAAACAGTTTATTAGAATCTTATATACCTAAGCGCGCTTTACGCTCTGCTTCTAAGAAGCTATTGATAGTTCCTAAATMATTTACATCTACTTATGGCGATAGAGCATTCTCTATCGCTGCGCCTAAGCTCTGGAATAACCTACCAGAAATAATAAAAAATGCTGAGACTGTTAAACAGTTTAAATCTTTAGTTAAAACATATCTTTTCAAAGAAGCTTTTGACTGATCTATTGCGTCCTTACGAAATACAGATTATGCTATCTTAATTGGTTTGCTATGGCTATTAATATTTTATATTTGCACCCAACAGTACAATACAGAAATCTCATACTTTCTTACTTAAAGAATAGGCATGAGTCTTTTCGAGGACAACTTAATTGACTACACAGTATATGCAATCATGCATTTGTGAATGCATTATAAAATACACTCACAGAAAGCCGCGGCTTTCTTCTGCTTAATCGTAGCAAAGCTTGCTCCAGGAAAGAGGGAATGCTGCTTTCGTCAATGCTAGTATAGCATCTGTGATTCTCTTGTGAGAAATCACACAAAGAATCATTCCCTCGCACACTATGTAGAGGTCGTCCATGTCAAACAACTCACCTACAGCCACCACTTGAGGCTGTATGTAATTAGAGATCTCACCATCAATGGAGCTTTCTCTCTGAGAGATTAATGGTATAACTATATATGAATATATGGGAAAAAATGATGAAGTTGAAGGGAAATAAGCTTAAATTTCGATTTCCAGTGAAGCCTTTTTGTGAAAAAAAAGAAAAAAAAAAGAAAAAAGAGAGGTAAGAGAAGTTAACGAATAACCATATTTGCGAAATGCACACCACAAGTGTGTACAAGTTGAATGTTGGATTACACATGTGCATGAATGTTTTAACATTGTTTTTCATATACCTACGGTGTGTATTTTTTTTCCCTAATTGTAGCTGCAGAAAATTCTTGTGACACTCGCTCCTTGTTTTTCTTTACTCAAATGAACGTTGATTACATTGATTACAATTCTTTCGATCTTACRCGGTTCTAAAGACGACTGAAATTACTCTAAACAGGTTTCAAGTGGCGGTTCTCAACTAGTAAATAATGGAGAAAAGGAACATAAGTGGCGATATACCGTGATAGAGATATCAAAGGAAAAAAAACTTACAATTTTGTCCTTCTGCAGGGACACGGCTCGATTACATTATAGACTATAATCAAACATGAGGAACCCCGCCCCAGTCCTCCTCTAGCGGTTTTGGCCGCGACACTATCATTATGAATTTTTAATTTATACAAATATAGTTTTTTGCATAAAGTCAGGTATGTTACTTAGAGAATTTAAAGATTGATCCTAGTAGCACTTAAATTAAGTTTTCTAATGTTCTAGCTTAATCTAAGCTTGTTTCACTTAAACTCACAACATTGAAGTTTTAAAAATTGTAAATGGTGGCTAATGAAGCAACCTTATGGTATTGTCATACAATCTATACCCTACGAAAGTCACATCCAATACTCGTTTATGAATTATTTGTTGGTTATAATGCCAAATCAGCACATTTTATAAATACATATATTAAAGTCATTCAGCTAGCCAGTTCTCCACACTTTTTGCAGCATTTTACTTCCTCTCTTGATGTCTTGAAAAGCCCTTTAAATGGCTGGCCATTAAACTGGCTTTTTTTTGCATATCAAATGGAAATCAAATGGGACAGTTGTCAAGGTGGCTTGGTACTCCCTCCACTTCATTCTGGCATTGTCCATGTTGTTTCTTACTGATGAGAACTGGCGGTCTATGGCAGTCATGTCTTTGTGTAGTGATTCGGGATAATAATGGTGGAGTTATCCCCTTATCATTGTGGCTCCTACTTTCCTTGAAAAATACCAGAAATGAAAAGACAAAAATTTACCTTAATTTCAGTCTTAAATGGTGTACCACTCTAACCTTAGAAATTAAGCCTAAAAATACCATATCTTGTTTTATAATGAGGACGACGTCGAGGACAAGGAGTTTAATTGATTTCGTTACGGTATATGGTAAATTTCAGTTAAGCATGAAAATTATTTTCTCTTTACTTAACATTCAAAAATGTCTTAAAATTAGTTGACTTTATCAAAGAATAACAATGTGGAAGACATTCGAAAATCTGTCTCTATTTAAAAACGTGTTGTCCTTGTGTCGCTTTTCAAATAAAATGCTTTAACTTGATCGATATCCTTGTCACTTGTGTGATTAAGAAATGGACATTCCTTTTCGAAAATTACTGACGATATGAAAATATTAATGTTAGCGAAAAAAAAAATTCTTTAAATAAGAATTGCAGAACAATGTTTTCAGATAAATAAGAGAGAAAAACAGTCTTTTTCAAAATTAATTTACAAAAGGTCAGCTTTAAATGGCAACCACATGAATTTGCATTACACGTTTTGAAAAGTTGGGGAAAAAATGGCATGAAAGGTAATTTGTTTCCTGATTTTCGAACTTTAAAATGTTCTAGTCTGCTCTTGAAAAAGTTAAACTCAGATGAGAGAAGTTTATTACAACTTTTTTTTTTCTCTTCCAGCAATTTTTAAAATTAACAAGTTTTGCCACAGGAAAACGTGTCAAATGTGCTGGGCACATTGGATACTTTGAAGAGAGTAGAAGACTATTTGGGATTTAGTAATTGTAAGACAGAAGAAAGTCTGTAGATTCGGTTTGACTAAAATAGAATATTTTGTAATGCTGATAGAAGAGATACGTTTTTCGTCGAGGCAAGATTTTTTTACGGTCAAATTGAACCAGCATAAACGAGTCTTGGTCGCAAACCCCAAAGCAAGCCTCCGTCTCTCTGAGAACTAGTG